TCCTCCTCCTCCTCCTCCTCCTCCCTGTCCCGTGCGATGTTCGGTTTCGTGCGTGTTTTTCCGGACAATGCACAACATGCTCGACGATGGTAAAGACTTTCTGGCGCCGGCCTCGCCGATACAACCTCACACGCTCGAGCGATGCCGAGCCTCCTCTCGAGAAAACAAAAGATACCGGTACCGCTACTCCCCGGACCTCTCCCAGGGTGCGTCCTGACCAGGGTTTCGAGGCGGATCCAGCTGTGGTGACGAGAGTCTCCCAAGAGGCCCGAAAATTAACAAAAATTAGGAAAAGGTAACCGGACGTCCCGACCCTTTCCCGGGGATCGGTTTTCATCTTGGGTCGTCTTTTGACGGTCCCAAGGCCCGACGAGGGCCCACAGAGGTAGAAAGTATGAAGAAACTGTTGGTCGTGATTGTTTCTGGGAGACGTAAGACTCGGGTTCACGGGACTCAGGTTGGCCTGATGGGGTCATCATGAAAATGACGAGACCCAGTCTGAAATTTGACGCGAGCTCCCGCTGCAAACATCCCACAACAACATAGAAGGTCAAAATCCAGGTTGCGCTCGTCAAAACGCGTCGGCAAACCCGAGCTCCGACGTACTCGAGTCTTACGTGCCCACTTTTTCACGGCGCCATCTTGCTCTGGGTTCATCTTCCCCGTCTGATCCTCTTAACACGAAGCCAGGACGAAGATAACAGTGGGTGATAATCAGAGTGAGGGGGCCGAACGGTCATTCATTGTCCCTGGGTGCGTGGCGGAAGTCGGAATCTGTGGTGAATATTATGATTGTTGCGTTGTTACCGTTGTTGTTGTTGCTGAATGTTAATTACTAAATAATTTTTATTGTTGGACCCCCCCAGGCGCCCTGGCGCTCTCGCCGAGGCGCTGGCTACATCTTCATTGATAGTGAGGCTCACGCTCGAGCGGTTTGGGGGGGGCGCCAAAACTGGCCCCCAACAACAACAACAATGCTCCCGCTCGAAACCTCTTTTTTTACCCAGATCTGGTGCTCTTGCTCGCCGCCGAAAACCGCTGCCCCAACAAAACCAACGCTCCCGCTCGAGACTTCTTCCCGTTTTACGCTGGGCTGGCGCGCTACTCTTTCTCTCATCGGCGCGGCCCCCAACAAGAACAACGCTCCCACTGGACTTCCTCCTTTTTTACTCAGAGCCGGTGCTTTTGCTCGCCGTCGAAAACCAACACCCCAACAAAACCAGCGCTCCCGCCCGCTCCCGTTTTACGCTGGACTGGCGCCCAACTCCCTTTTGAATTGGCGCCGCCCCCAGCAAGAGCAACGCTCCCGCTTCAGGCTTCCTCTCTTTTTCCTGAAGACGGTGCTGTTCCTCGCCGCCAACAGCCCCCGTCCCGACAAAACCGTTGCTCCCGCTCGAGACTTCTTCCCTTCTTACTCAAGGTGGTGTTCCTCCTCGCCGCCGACAATCGCCGTCCCAACAGAACCAGCGCTCCCGCTCGAGACTTCGTGTTGCTTCACGCTGGACTGGCGCCCTACTCTCTTCTGCATTGGCGCCGCTCCCAGCAACAACAGCACCCCTGCTCGAGACTTCACGGCATGCAGGTAAACAGGTAAACAGGCCCTGCTCGAGACTCCCTCCCTTGCAATTCAGAGCAGGTCCTTGCCTCGCCGCCGACAGCCCCCATCCCCACCAAGCTAATCCTGTTGCTCGATACTTCCTTGTGCTTTGCCCTTGGCTGGGGCCCCACTGGCGGTCTCGCATCGGCGGCGCGGGCATGTGTTTTCGAGGCGGGATATGTTGAAATTCCTCGGGGGAGGGGTTTGCAAGACCTCATTGTGCGGGAGATCTGGGAATGGGAATGACGGACCCCCGCGATAGAGCAATAATCCCCCATGATCGGGATGGTTACCATGATGGTCACATGCTGCGTGTGGAAGCATCGCGCATGAGGGTAAAATGATAATTGCTGTTGCTGCTGTTGCTGATGCTGCTGTTGTGGTTGTGGTTGTGGTTGTGGTTGTGGTTGATATTACTGTTGTTGTTACTGTTTTTGTAGGTGTAGTCGTAGTTGCAGTTGTAGTTGTTGTTGCTGTTGCTGCTGTTGTTGAATGTTAATTACTAAACAATTTTTATTGTTGGACCCCCCCAGGCGCCCTGGCGCTCTCGCCGAGGCGCCGGCTACATCTTCATTGATAGTGAGGCTCACGCTCGAGCGGTTTGGGGGGGGCGCCCAAACCGGCCCCCAACAACAACAATGCTCCGGCTCGAAACCTCTTTTTTACCCAGATCTGGTGCTCTTGCTCGCCGCCGAAAACCGCCGCCCCAACAAAACCAACGCTCCCGCTCGAGACTTCTTCCCGTTTTACGCTGGGTTGGCGCGCTACTCTTTCTCTCATCGGCGCGGTTTGGGGGACCGCCACAACCGGCCCCCCAACAACAACAACAACAACAACGCTCCCGCTCGAGACTTCCTCCTTTTTTATTCAGGGCTGGCGTTCTGCTCGCCGCCAGAGCCGCCGTCCTAACAAAACCAGCGCTCCCGCTCGAGACTTCCTCCCGTTGTACCTTGGACTGGCGCGCTACTCTTTCTCTCATCGGCGCCGCCCCCAGCAAAAAACAACGCTCCCGCTCGAGGCTTCCCCCCTTTTTTGCTCAAGGCGGTGCTCATGTTCGCCGCCGAAAACCGACGCCCCGACAAAACCAGAGCTCCCGCCCGAGACTTCCTTCCGTTTTACGCTGGACTGGCGCCCATCTCTCTTTTGAATGAGCGCCGCTCCCACCAAAAACAACGTTCCCGATCGAGGCTTCCTCCCTTTTTCCTGAAGACGGTGCTGTTCCTCGCCGCCGACAGCCCCCGTCCTGACAAAACCACGGCTCCCGCACGATGTTTCCCCCTTTCTTGCTCAAGGCGGTGTTCCTCCTCGCCGCCGAAAGCCGCCGCCCCGACAAAACCAGCGCTCCCGCCCGAGACTTCCTTCCGTTGTACGCTGGGCTGGCGCCCTACTCTCATTTGAAGTGGCGCAGCTCCCAACAAGAACAACGCTCCCGCTCGGGATGTTTGTATTTTGTTTCCTCGGGACGGTGCTGTTCCTCGTCGCCGACAGCCCCCGTCCCGACAAAACCACGGCTCCCGCTCGAGGCTCCCTCCTTTCTTACTCAAAGCGGTGTTCCTCCTCGCCGCCGAAAACCACCGTCCCCACAAAACCAGCGTTCCAGCTCGAGACCTCTTTTTGTCTTTCGCTGGCCTAGCGCCCTACTCTCTTCAGCATTGGCGCCGTGCCCAACAACAACACCCCTGCTCGAGACCTCCTCCCTTGCAATTCAGGGCCAGGTCCTTGCCTCACCGCCGACAGCCCCCATCCCCACCAAGGCAATCATGTCGTTCGATACTCACTTGTGATTTACCCTTCGTTGGGGTTCCACTGGCGGCCTCGCATCGGCGCACCAAGGCGCGGGCATGTGTTTTCGAGACGGGATATGTTGAAATTCTTCGGAAAAGGTGTTTGCAACAGCTCAATGGGCGGGAGATCTGGGAATGGGAATAACGGACCCCGCTATAGAACGATAGTCCCCCATTGCGCGGATGGTTATCATGATGGCCGCATGCTTCGTGTGATAACATCGCGCATGAGGGTAAAATGATTGAACTATGATTTCTGACGAATAATGATTGTTGATCCCCCCCACCGGTGCACATTGCATTTGTCAATTGCAGTGCCTTTCCTGGGGCCCGCACCCGGTTACTTTTCTCAGGGGAAGTCTTGAAGCTCAAACTGGGCCCCCCTGGTTCCCGGGTTACAACAACAATAACAACAACAACAACAACAACAACAACAACAACAACGGCTCCCGCCTATGACTTCCTCACAATTTAGCCCGGACCCCCGCTCCCGTCAGAGACTTCCTCGCATTGTATGCAGGAATCGCGCTCTCGCTCGGGACTTCCTTACAATGTATTCAGGAATCGCTCTCTCGGCGCTCTGGCGTCGCGCTCTCGCTGGAGACGCGCTTGCAATTTACGCAGGAATCGCGCCCTTGCGTTTGAATTTCCCGCAATTTACTCAAGCGCCGCGCCCCCGACACTCAGGCACCCAGGAGTCGCGCTCACGCTTAGGACTCCCTCACAGATGACTTAGGAAACGGGATATCGTTGCCCTTCGTGGCCCCGTAGCAGCCCTTCGTGGCCCCCTCGCTGCCCTTCGTGGCCCCGTTGCAGCCCTTCGTGGCCCCCTCGCTGCCCTTCGTGACCCCGTTGCAGCCCTTCGTGGCCCCCTCGCTGCCCTTCGTGGCCCCGTTGCAGCCCTTCGTGGCCCCCTCGCTGCCCTTCGTGGCCCCGTTGCAGCCCTTCGTGGCCCCCTCGCTGCCCTTCGTGGCCCCGTTGCAGCCCTTCGTGGCCCCCTCGCTACCCTTCGTGGCCCCGTTGCAGCCTCTGTGGCTCCCTCGCTGCCCTTCGTGGCCCCGTTGCAGCCCTTCGTAGCCCCCTCGCTGCCCTTCGTGGCCCCGTTGCAGCCCTTCGTGGCCCCCTCGCTGCCCTTCGTGGCCCCGTTGTAGCCCTTCGTGGCTTCCTCGCTGCCCTTCGTGCCCCGTTGCACCCCTTCGTGGCCCCCTCGCTGCCCGTCCCCGTAGGCAGCCCTGGCCCCCTCGCTAGCAGCCTTTCGTGGCCCCCGCTGCCCTTCTTGCCCTTGCAGCCTCTGTGGCGTCGCTGCCCTTCGTGGCCCCGTTGCAGCCCTTCGTGGCCCCCTCGCTGCCCTTCGTGGCCCCGTTGTAGCCCTTCGTGGCTTCCTCGCTGCCCTTCGTAGCCCCGTTGCACCCCTTCGTGGCCCCCTCGCTGCCTTCCGTGGCCCCGTAGCAGCCCTTCTTGGCCCCCTCGCTGCCCCTCGTTGCCCCGTAGCAGCCTTTCGTGGCCCCCTCGCTGCCCTTCTTGGCCCCCGCTCGTTCGCGCCCGTCGCGGCCCCATATGCATGCCCTTCGTGGCCCCGCTGCCGCCCTCTGTGGCCCCCTCGCTACCCTTCGTGGTCCTGCTGCTGCCCTCAATGGCCCCGTCCTTGCCTTCCGCGGCCCAATATACGTATGCCCTTCGTGGTCCCCGCTCGTTCGCGCTCGTCGTGGTCCCCATGCGCATGCCTTTCGTGGCCCCGCTGTCGCCCTTCGCGGCCCCCTCGCTGTCCTACGTGGCCCAGTTGCTACCCTCAGTGGCTCCGTCGTTGCCTTCTGTGGCCCCGCATTGTCTACCCTTCGTGGCCCCCGCTCGTTCGTGCTCTTCGTGGCCCCATACGCGTTTCCTTCGTGTCCCCGCTGTCGCCCTTCGCGGGCTGCTTCGTGCCCTTCGTGGCCCTGCTGTCGTTTTCTCTCTCGCGTTCGGTTTCGCTCGTCGTCGTCATCGTCGTCGCCGTCGTCGCCGTCGTCGTCGCCGTCTTCGACGTCGTCGTCGTCGCGGTCGGTCCCCTGTCCGTCCCTCTTGGGGTCAGGTTGCCGCCGATCAGCGCTGCCGCTGGCCAGGCCGACGGTCCGCGGCCGCCCCGCCGCTTGCCAGGGTCCGGCTTGCAGGGAAGAAAGGTAGATCCCCCTAAAGGAATACGATCGAAGACGAAGAGGGCGGCTATCGAGGGGGTGGGAAATACGCGTTAACGGACACTCAAGCAGATAAGAGCGAACAGTCTTAAAATGATTGCTGCTGTTGTTATTGTTATTGTTGTTCTTGTTGATGTTGTTGTTGTTGTTGTTGTTGTTGTTGTTGTTGTTGTTGTTGTCATCGTCGCCGTCCCCCCCGCGACCCACCTGCGACCCACCCCTCGACCCACCCCCGACCCACCCCCTACCCACCCCGCGACCCACCCCGCGACCCACCTGCAACCCAACCCGCGATCCACCCCGCGACACACCCCGCGACCCATCCGCGACCCACCCGCGACCCATCCGCGACACACCCCGCGACCCACCCGCGACCCACCCCGCGACCCATCCGCGACCCACCCGCGACCTACCCGCGACCCACTTGCGACCCACTTGCGACCCACCCCGCGACCCACCCGCGACCCACCCCCGACCCACCTGCGACCCATCCACCATGCTTTGATAAAATCGGCGCCTGCGGCGGGCTCATTGTATAACTTGTGAAACTTTGGCGCCTGCGGCGGGCTTCTCCAGAGTCTCGCAGACTGCCGACGTCCCCACCGCCCCCTAACTCTTATCCGCATCTGCGGGATGCTACGTAAATCGAGCATCTCTGAGATCCGGCGGGTCTGGAAGATGTCTCGGGCGCCGCGGTCTTCTTAGAGCGTTCCGGAACGCTGTGAGAGCGTTCCAGAACACGCTCTGGAACGGATGTAACTATCCTCGGCCTGGCCCCGTCCGACACGATCGCCCGTCACCGGCCCCGCCGTCCCTCTCACGTCGCGATTCGGGCAGCGCCGTGGCGCCGGCGCCAGTCGCGAAGTGACTGGCCAGTCACCCCCGTTCTGGCCAGAGGACAAGTTAAAAAAAAACGCGCCTGATCCTAGAGGCGTGGGAGGCACCGCGGCCTCGAGTTCCCTCGGCGAAACCAGCTGCCGTCGGCGAAACCAACTGCCGTCGGCGAAACTGCCCGATCCGACCCGCCCGATAGGGTCGCCCGCCCGACCCGACCCGCCCGTTAGGGTTCGCGCGTGCTCGGTCGAGCGTGCCCCACACTTGAATGTCCCGCCCACCCGGCCCGACCCGCCCGTTAAGGTTCGCCCGCCCGACCCGACCCGACCCGTCCGCTAGGGTCCGCCAGCCCGACCCGACCCGCCCGTTAGGATTCGCGCGTGTTCGGTCGAGAGCGCCCCACACTTTAATGTCCGTGCCGCCCGACCCGATCCGCCCGTTCGGGTCCACCCGACCCGACCCGACCCGACCCGGCCGCTAGGGTTCGCCCGCCCGACCCGACCCGCCCGTCAGGGTTCGCGCGTGCTCGGTCGAGCGTGCAGCGTGCCCCACACTTGAAAGTCCCGCCCGCCGGGCCCGACCCGCCCGTTTGGGTCCGCCCGCCCGACCCGACCCGACCCGCTCGCTCGGGTCCGCCCGCCCGACCCGACCCGCCTGCTCGGCTCCGACGCCCGACGCCCGACGACGACGACGAAAACGAGAACGACGAGAACGACGAGAACGATGATGACGATACCGACGACGACGACGACGACGACGACGGCGGCTGCGGCGGCGCCGACGCCGACGCCGACGCCGACGCCGACGACGGCGTCGGCAAAACTCGGCGAAACCAGCGCCGGCGAAACCAGCCGCCGGCGAAACCAGCCGCCGGCGAAACCAGCGCCGGCGAAACCAGCTCATGTTCTCGCTGAGGGAGGTCAAATCCGCTGCGTGGCCGGGAGTCTGCTCAAAGATAACCCCGCGCTGACCCGTAAGATTCGGAGGACGATGACGACGAGGACCCCTAGCGCTGCTTCCCCAGGCCCCGCCATGTCTGCCGTTGTTTCCGCGGCCGTCCCGGCTTCCCAGGCACGTCTCCCGGTCGTTGATCATGTGGCACCCTTTGTCGTACCTATCGCCCAGGCCGGCTCTTCCTCCCCCTTCGTCCTCGCCCTCGGCCTCGGGCCTTGTCCTCCTCCCGACGGCTGCTGCTGGTCGTCAGCCGAGGCTGCCGTCGCGTGCCGTCTCCGGCCCTTCATGCTCCTGCTCGTCCCCCTCCTCTGTCTAAAGACTGCTTCCCACATCCTGTTCGGTCCTCTGCCCCTCCTCAAACAATGATTTCTTCTGACATCACTCGTCCTTCTTCACGTCCCTCCTCCTCTTGATCCTCCCTCATGTGCCTCGTCCTCCATCTACGTGTCCTTCTCCTACTCCTCCTCCTCCGCCTCTCGCTCTTGTCGTAACACGGCCACGGGACCCCATACTTCGTGGGCATGGCTAGCATGGCTGAGATGCGTGTCGGCTGCGGACTTCAGCATTGCATCGTTGTTTCGCCTGGCCCAAGAACCCAAATGCATCATCCTACTTCCTCTCCTTCTCCTCTCCCCCCACGGACTCCTCCATCCTCCTGCCTCATCAAATTCCTCATCCTGTTCCGTCTCCTCCTCCTCCTCGCACCCCATCGGAAGAAGAAAAGAGACGGCAAGGAGAGACTCGCGTGAGGCCGGAAAACAAAGGGGCGGGGGGAAGGAGCAGAAGGAGGACGGGAGGGACTGAGAGTGCCTGCTCCCTCTCATCACCCTCGCGCCATCCCCCCCTCTGGGAGAAGCAAAAGGTACCGATACTGCTACTCCCCAAGGCGAATCCAGCGGTGGCGACGAGGGCCTCCCAGGAGGCCCCCCAAAAGGCGGAAACGAAGCAAGGGTGGAGGTATGGGTACCTCTTTCTCCTCCGGCCAACGCCTCCATCCCCATGCCTTCCCCCTGCCGCCTGCGTCTTGCCAGTGGGAGTAATGCGCGCGGGGAGCGAGGACTCCTTTGTTGTGGGCCTCGGCTGTCCCCCCGGATGTGCGGGGAGCGCCAGGGGGAAAGAAGCCTGAGAGGCCCACGAGCCCGGTACTGTAAGAGGCCCAATCCAGCTTCCGGTGTGGCGTGGCTTCCACGCGCGTATGCGCAAAACTGTATGACACAGTCGCATTCTACGCCGTGTGACGTGTGGAGCTGGCGTTCCCCCCATGTGGTGCTGCCCTGTCTCGGCGGTGGACAAACCTCCCTCTATGAAGCCTCCCTTTAGTAAGAACGGCCTAGGACCGAAACCGACGGACCTGGACCCGCAAAAATGACGGCCGCGACGCCCTCTCGCGAACCGAAAACGGCCAGTTCGCTAATCGACGTGTCAGGGTAGGAAGTCCATCATGCTTTGGTCGACCCAAAAGGGGGTCCAGCTGAAAGGGGGTGGTGCAATAGATTTGGGGCAATTGTGTTGCAAATGTACTGCGCCAGAGAATTGTATTGCATTGTATTGCGACGAATGTATTGCACGCGAAAATCCAGCAATACATTTGCGGCCCGGAATGTATTGCATACCCCAGATGTATTGCAACCCCACAAATATATTGCACCAAATCTATTGCATCACTCCCTGGTCGCTGGACCCCCTTTTGGGTCAACCCGTCTATCAAACTCCGACTGCTGTGTGATGTGAGATGCTGGTACCTGATGCTGGCTGCAACGCTTGGTTAATGGCTTACGTTTCTGCCAATATTTTCCGTCATCCTCACAGACCTCCTGCTCCTCCTCACTCGTCTTCCTCCGCCCTCGTCTTCCTCCCCTCCCTCCTCTGGCCTCCGGCTCCCTCTTCCCTCCTGCTTCACCCGCTCCTCCCGGAGGATGATGATGATGATGATGCAAACCCGTGGAGACCAGGTCAAGCCTGGGCACGACATCACATTCAAGCCTGGGGGAACTTGCCGCCACTCTTGGGGGGAAGACCACGAGCAAACCTGGACAGGACCTCCCTCCCAGCCTTCGTGGGGGGACGATCAGTCTTACAGGGTTTGGCCAGGCTTTGCACATTGCGCCCACTAGCATGGGCACCACAATGCTCGCAATACAGCACACCGCGGAGCACATTCAACCTATGATTGCCCGCGCACGAAGGAAACAAGGGGTGCGCGAGCGGATCAGAGGAAAGGTGAGCGGGTCCGAGACAGGGACCAGGACAAAAGTCTTGGACACGGCCCTTCAATTTGAATCGACGCTCACAGATCTGGCAGCGGAGAGCCGTACCCTTCAAGGTCGGCTCATGACCCGCTAACCTCATTCTCCTAAGGCGGACCTGGAAGGCAGGGATAGGAGGGGGCCGAGGGGGAGGACGGCCGAGCCGATCAGAAACACGGCGGGGGTTCTGCTCCACAACCTCCCGATGCACCGCCAGAAGGCGGTCAAGCGTGTGAGACGTGACACGATCAACAAACGCCGTCACATCAACTTGCTCGGGGGAGGGGGCCACACGTTCAGTGGCCCACCCCGCAAAGAAATCAGCACACCAATTAAGGAAAAACTCTTCCTCCCCAATGGCGAATTGGGCCCTCTGGTGGGTCGTCGAGGTGGCTCTTGGTCCACAGGACGTCGACTGAACCAGGACCTCGATCGTCCAAGGCCGACCAGATCCGAACCCAAAGATCGAGCATCGAGCTGCTAGCCACGATCTGAGCTCGTGGCTGCCTTAGCCCTCTCACCAAGGGCAAATAATCAGAGTAGCACAATATATCACCCACAGTATGACTCAGAACCATGATAAATGCATGAAGTTCAGCTCGGGGACTAGACTGCTCCAAGGTAGGAAGACCACCGCACATAATGGTATCCAGCTGCAGCGAGAGACCATCTGGAACCCCAAGACTGACTATAGCCCAACCGCATCGCCTCAACCTCTTATCTCTGGCGCGAACCCCTCCAGAGCCATCAAGGCCCCACACACCTCCAGGAACCCGACGCTGAGCCCTCAGGGTGCCCCATGTCCAGGCACGAGCAGAGGGTGGAGGTAGGTGGCCACAAGATGCATCAAGGCAGGGTACCCCACGAGTAAAGAAAGCACTATGGGGGTCAGCAGCAAGGGCATCATGAACCAAATATTCACTATTCTCAATACTCGGATCAGTCAAGTACTGGTTACTCGGACATCCCCAACAACGGTGCAGAGGTGTTTCCCGCGCGTCACCACATCGGAAACAACGGCCTGAGGTCAAATATCCACAGTCCTGCAGACGCGACTCGGGCCAAGCACCTCCGACAGCAATCGTAATCAAAAGGGCGGCGCCCTTAAAGTCGCCGTCGTCGAGCAACTTCTTGTGCTTGGCACGAAGCACAGTAAGGTCAGCACCTGTCTCGAGGCCTTGCCCGCAAAAGTGCTGAGCGTCCTTGGCCCAGACAATGGACGAGCAAGACTCACGGACAGCCGAGGTAAGATGATATCTGAAATCTGCATCAGCCAACCTAAGCGTGACACCAACACTTGCACGCCCCTCATCTACACGTCGTGGTTCCCATCCTAGATCCAGAACAGTAGCACACAGGGCTGCAATGGGACCTCGAACGAGACGCCACCGACTCGACTCCTGCGACTTACCGATCGTGTCGTGCAGGGCCTCCCAGACTCTCCGAACTCCAGACCGAAGACCTTCAGGAAGAGAAACACAAATTTCCGAAATCAGGGTAAGTTGTTCAACACGGAGCCGATAAACAGGATCATCTTTAGTATCATGCAACACTCGCAACACAGTGCTAACACAAGCCCCAGACGACCAACATCCAGAGCACGCTGCAGCCGAGGATCTGAACTGCCCAATAGCACCCGCAGGAAGCCCAAGGAGAGCATGGCCCCAGGTACCCACAGCCAAAATGCCCGGCTTGAAAACCTTACGAGAAGCCCCACAAAGCTTGGCAAGGTAACTCAACTTCCTGGCACGACGGAAAGCGAGCGAGCGTCTCTGCTGGACCTTCCAGGTGGATCGCCTTTTATTGGCAGTAGTGACAGATCCAAGATCCTTCACTCCATCAGCAAAAGAAATAGAGACTTCATATCTCCTGAACTCGTCCTGCAGGAGCCGCTGCAGCTCCACGAACGAGGCGATTGCAAGCGACTTAGAGCTGACGGCACACCCCAGCTCAGAGATATCATGCTGAAAATCGACAGCGGCCTGGGGCAGGTAGCGGCAGATGAAAGCGACAGAGCCTTGCAGGTACTGTGTGATGTCGTCAACATGCGACCTAATTGGGACACGAACGTGTGGGTGGTCTCCAGGTCCTCTAGGGATCCTATTATGAGCCTTCTCCAGGACCCCGTAGAGGCAGCACTTGGCCCAGGGCATACTCTGACAACAACCCGCCAAGATGGACTCACCAGAGGCCAACACCTTCGAATGACTCCCAGACACTTCCAAAAGCCTCGGATACGTATGAATGAGGAGCCCCATGTACAACAGGTGGGCGGGGTAATCTTGATTAACCGCCAAGTGCAGGAGCTTGCTGGGGCTCACGGAGTCGAAGAACTGCTCGAGGCCCCAGTGGAGGGCACAGGAGTGGAACCCACAGGTACGGGCCACTTCATGGGCCAAATCACGAAAAAGGGCAGCCTTCAAGGCCGAAGAGCCCTTGACCGCAGAGTCCCAGAAGTCAATGTGGGCCTTGTCCCAATCATCGATGTCGAAGCCTCTGGCCTTACAAAAGATCCTGTAGATGCTGGGGCACTTCACGATTGCCCGCTCATCACGTATAGACTTCGGCAGCATCGCCATGAGACAAACATAGCACTGAGGGGGAAAGCACAAATTCCCTTCCACAGAACGCAAGGTGTCAGTGAACACTTCGAGAGAATCCACTGGAGCGTCCAAAAGAGCACGAGGCGACCACATATCAACACCGAGAGCGGTCTTCGCCCTGAAGCAAGTACACGCACGAGCAACATCAGAAAGTTCGAGCAGGGGGGCATCTTCCAGAGCGACTAAGGCTTGTGACCTAAGCTCGCTCATGCCCGCATTCGAACAAGACAGCTGCTGTGCGGAAGGAGTCCACCAAGACGACCACTTATCTTCACGATATCTCATCATATCCTTTGGGGTGTTCACGATGC